TATCGGCTGTTTACATGTGACTGAAATCATTCGCTTACGGGGAAATTAAGTTGAATTTTACTTGCATTTTATAACAATTCAACGAATTTATTTTTCGTGCGTTATTGTAATCACTACTAAATAATAATCACCAATATCAACACTTCGAAAACAAGTAAGTTATTCACTTGTGACCAGCAGCATGGCCGGATCGAGCTACATGTGATCATTTGCTACTAAGCAGTGCATTCGTGTTTTTATTTGAAACTTCTGTTAGAATATACTTTTTGTTACCAAGAAAATTAAAAAAATAAATGCATATTACATTAAAAATACTGAGTATTTTTTGTATCATGTGGATTTTTTTTTTTGATTGACTGTAATTTTTCAACATTTCGTAACGCCTATTTTAGAACCAAAATAAGGCCTTTCACTCTTCCCCGACGCTTATTCAAGAAATTGTACGGTGTATTGTTTGTTTTGTGCATGTGTTGTGGACAAAAAATGACCACGCCCATTTAGTGATTGCAATATGTACGTAATAGAAACCGCACCCCGAACTTGAGCTTTTGATCCCAATTTTTAAATTGATACATTGTAATATAAACCGCGGTTTATAATAGGACTTTAACGGTGGGTCTTTTTCATGATTTTCATGCTTTTAATACCTTTCCTGATCTAGAATTATATATATTTTTTTAAAATTCTAGTAGGGTTTAATTGTGCTATTAAAGGGTACCATTAGTGAGTACTGTGGGTAATTTTAATGGTGTTTTCCCAAAATAAATATAAGCATGTTTCTATCACTGATGCCTGCAACTTTGATTCAATACATTCTGTAACCGAAATTTTCAGAAGAAAAATTAAATTAATTTAAAAGTAGAAGTCGTTTGTTACATATACATTCACCTTCTGTGTTAACTATTTAGTCAGAAGGTTAATTGATGATTTGTGCTGATTGGAAACTTTTTCTTTCATATAGTTTTATCTACCGGATTCTAAATTTTCTTGACTTGTTGGCTACACATTATGTTGAATAATGCCATCAAATCTAACCCCGATTTGCATTTATGATAGCATCAAAGTAGACTATAGTTGATTGTTTTCTGCATAATATTAATTATTGTAACATATAATCAACTATTTTTGTTTTGAGGCTGCTTGTTTATGAAGTTTGGGGAAGAAATATAATATATTTTCCAAATCTGACACCTGATTTCAAAATTTTTTTCATCAGGTTTATATCCCAGTCTTCCAGATGTTGCTTCCATTGATTTTAGTCTCTTAAGAGAAGAGGAAGAATGGCAATTGCTTTTCAACTACATACTGCCATATGCCAGTCTTGTCAGAAACTGTGTTGGCAAGATAGATCCTACTAATCCACGATCCAAGATTCACTCACATAAGGTGATGATGCATACATTTGTCAATCAATACCTTGCTCATTGGTTCTTTGTAGTTTATGGTTCAACCCACAAACAATCTTATTGTTGTATACTTTTAATGTGTCTTCAGTGATATTATCAAAAGAATGATCAATCTGGAGGTATATAAATGTACCAAAATAAGCCAAGTACGGTTGAAAAGTACGGGCCATACTTTTCCAAAATAGCAAATACGGGTGATATTTGTAGCGAGTATGGGTGATATTTTTAGCGAGTATGGGTGGTATTTGCAGCGAGTATGGGTGTATTTGCAGTGAGTACGGGTGGTATTTGTAGCGAGTACATGGAGGTAATTTAGTGAGTACGGGTGATCTAATTTCTTGGAGCTATTAATCGACATAGTATAGCGCCCTCATGTGACAAGTTTTTTTGTGCTGTAAAATTCACTAGTGAATTGTGTTGGAACAGGCAGGGTAAATATTATTGCAGTCAGTGTGAATATTTTAATTTGGGGTCCATTTTAATTTTCATATTACTTCAAATGTGAAACTCTATAATTGAGCTAAAAAGTGGCTATAATATAAACATTCCAGGAAACACTGGTGCAATGAGAAGACACGATGTGATAGGACATCATTAAACTCAATGTCAAGGATAGATAGGTTTTTTAAGTCCTCGCTCGGACGCAGTCCGAAAACGGGGACTTATGTTTTGACCCTTGTGCGTTTGTGCGTCCGTCCGGACCTGTATCTTAGACATGCCTGGACCAATCACAATCAAACTTCACACATACATCAAACATAATATTATACTTATGCACATCAATTTGTTTCACAATCTGATTCAAGATGGCCGAATGGCGGCCATTTTTGTACTGAAACATCATCAAAATCAAGCATTTCTCTGCTGTTTACTGATGGATTTTGTTAAAACTTGGTATATACATTAGACGTTATGAGACCTTTATGCAAATTATTATGTCTTTCAGATAAGATTCAAAATGGCCGACTGGCGGCTATTTTGCTTTAATGAATGTGGTTCTAGTGCCATATCTCTGACTTGCTGTGACTGATTATTGATTATGTTCAAATTTTAAATATTTATTACACATCATTTCATAGATATACAGATATAGTGGTTTGACGCTCGTATTAAAATAGCCTATTGGTGGCCATTTTTGTCCTAAAAAATCATCAAAATCAAGCATTTCTCGGCTGTTTACAGATGGATATTGTTCAAACCTGGTGTATACGTAGGACATAATTGGACCTTGATGCACATTCTTTAGTTTTTCAGATAAGATTCAAAATGGCTGACTGGTGGCCATTTTGTTTTAATGAATGTGGTTCTAGTTTCATATCTCTGACTTGCTGTGACTGATTATGTTCAAATTTTAAATATTCATTATACATCATGTCATCCTATTAAAAATGGCCGAATGGTGGCCATTTTTGTGCTAAAAAATCAAATATCAAGCATTTATGGATGGATTTTGTTCAAACTTGGTACATACATTAAACATTATGGGTTCCTGTCCGATGCAGTCCGAAAACGGGGACTTGTGTTTTGACCCTTGTGCGTTCATGCGTCCGTGCGTCCGGACCTGTATCTTAGACATGCCTGGACCAATCACAATCAAACTTCACACATACATCAAACATAATATTATACTTATGCACATCAATTTGTTTCACAATCTGATTCAAGATGGCCGAATGGCGGCCATTTTTGTACTGAAACATCATCAAAATCAAGCATTTCTCTGCTGTTTACTGATGGATTTTGTTAAAACTTGGTATATACATTAGACGTTATGAGACCTTTATGCAAATTATTTTGTCTTTCAGATAAGATTCAAAATGGCCGACTGACGGCCATTTTGCTTTAATGAATGTGGTTCTAGTGCCATATCTCTGACTTGCTGTGACTGATTATGTTCAAATTTTAAATATTTATTACACATCATTTCATAGATATACAGATATAGTGGTTTGACGATCCTATTAAAAATGGCCTAATGGTGGCCATTTTTGTGCTAAAAAATCATCAAAATCAAGCATTTCACGGCTGTTTACAGATGGATATTGTTCAAACTTGGTGTATACGTTGGACATAATTGGACCTTGATGCGCATCCTTTCGTTTTTCAGATAAGATTCAAAATGGCCGACTGGCGGCCATTTTGTTTTAATGAATGTGGTTCTAGTTTCATATCTCTGACTTGCTGTGACTGATTATGTTCAAATTTTAAATATTCATTATACATCATGTCCTCCTATTAAAAATGGCCGAATGGTGGCCATTTTTGTGCTAAAAAATCAAATATCAAGCATTTATGGATGGATTTTGTTCAAACTTGGTACATACATTAAACATTATGGGTTCCTGATGCACGTTATTTTATTTGTTAGATCGGATTCAGAATGGCTGACTGGTGGCCATTTTGTTTTAATGAATGGGCTTCCAGAGCCATATCTCTGACATACTTTGACTGACTATGTTCAAATTTTATATATTCATTATACATGTATTCAAAAAGGCTGATTTTGTTTTAATTAATGCTGTTCCAGAGCAATATCTCTCGATACTCATTTGACGAACAGATACAAATGTCAATCATTTAAATGTTAATCAAATCATCATAATAATATTACTGACATGTTTATATTCTAGCTATATTACTATAAACAAAACTATACATCTTAAATTTGATAACTAACGGATACTGTACCATGCCTGGCTTGTTTCACCAGTGATCAATGTTGACCACCATCTTAAAATTTTGGTGGTCCATAGTAAAACATTGGTAGCCCAAAACTTGATCACTGTCTGACTCATCATGAACCTGTGGTCCATTTGGTTCATTCTCAACTCTTTTCATTGCTTTGTACTTGATTTGAACCTGAGTCAGTGGTAGATGTCGGTTTGTCAGTGCTTTTAATATTTTCTGGAAATTAAACTTGAACAATGAACTTGTCATACTTGATATTTAAATACAGTGAGTAGTGATATATAAAGCACAAAGCAGCATTGATGTCATGCAGACACTCAATGATCTGGGAAACACAAAACCATTGCATTGGTGAATACTTTGCACAAGTTTACATGAAATATCCAATGTGTACGCATAATGCTAATACATTTTATAGAAAATGCGGAAGTGAAGTACACTCCATTGTCATATTGCATTTAAAAAAAGTTGGTAGTCAATGTGGACCACCAACAATTTAATTTGTTGGTCTGAAGCATAATTTGGAACATTGCTCCTTAGTGGACAGTAGTTAATTGTACAATTGAATCCACATGAGCCAGGTCAACCCCCCCCCCCCCCCAATACTTGTCCGCTGTAGTGTGCCCACTAAAGGACTGATTTTGTAAGGATTCTGAGTCAAAATGGAATCTTCCAAAATAAGTTTAGCTACATGTAGCTTGTTGACTGCTAGGGAAGAAAAAAATAAAATTGCATGCAACTATATGGGTGCTTTCCTTCATTTATAGTCCCCGTTCATAGCCAGTCCGAAAACGAGGACTAATGGATTGACCTCTGTGCATCTGTGCATTCGGACCTGTATCTTGGACATGCCTGGACCAATTATATTCAAACTTCACACACACATCATACATAATATTATACGTATGCACATCAATTTGTTTTACAGTCTGATTCAAGATGGCTGAATGGTGGCCATTTTGTGTTAATGAATGTGGTTCTAGTGCCATATCTCTTTCATGCTTTGACTGATTATGTTCAAATTTCCAATATTCATTATACATCGTCTCATAGATATACAGATGTATTGGTTTGGCAATCCGATTCAAAATGCCTAAATGGTGGCGATCTTTGTGCATCAGTGGCACATCATATCGGCACATTGCTCAGCTGTTCTTTTGAGTGACTTGTTCTGAAGATGAAAATAATGAATAAGGACAAATTTTTGTGATGATGCATACCATTGCTGATTTCTCAGTGCAGACCGACTGAGACATATGTGCACATCCTGCACTATTATACCAGTAGTTTTGTAATGAAAAGGGAACAGTAAATTTTCAATATATGTAGGTCTGAATACTAGTAGTGAAAACTTCACTGGTCTCCACATTCTACTATCAAGAGACCTTTCAAGAAATAACAAAGCATGTTATTCCTATATATTGGTCCCTAAGTCGTTGGAAGCAGCCTATTTTAGAACTAAGTGAATTATGTACAGACCAAGTAATTCTCATTGGACATTCTGGCTCTTGGGCATATCTAGCATTTGTAGAGTCACACAGTGTACCAGTTTGAGTTGAGCAGTGCACCTCAAGTGTTTACTACAAAACTGCTCAGGTACGTTGACCCTTTAGTCCGATCAAAGAGTTGATGGGAACAGAGTTTGCACATATAGGTCTCACAAGATATGTCACATGTCAATCCCCAAATAACAATGAACTGATTATAATCTTCTCGTGTGACAACTTTAATTTATTGTTGGTCTCATTTTTTTTTGATGGAATTCTTGCCATTTAGTTGCAAAAAGAGAAAAATGTTTGTTCTTTTAATTAGTATGCGCAAATGGTGTATATTTTTTGTTTTACCAGTATTTCTTAATGTATACACTACTGTTCTCAACATGTCTGCTTATTGTGACTGACATTTACATTCCAAATGCTGTATTATAACTATCATCTCTGATAATCTTGTATACCGGTAAATTACTATGATTTGATGCAACTTATGATGTACCAGTGTATGTAATAATCCAACAAAAAAAGAAAATTAGGATAATTTTTGCATAAGATACTATAGGTTTCAACTGTCTAGATGTGAAAAACTACTCAAGGCTGCCCTACTTCATGAAAACATGTTTGTTCATGCATTGTCACAAGGCTTATAACTTTATTATTCCCTGTATCTTAAAGTTTTAAGTTACCCGGTACTATTTCTACTTCTACCATCCATCATTTCTATCTTCCATCTGTTGTGATGAATTATTCACTTTTATATCTGATTTAATTTTTTTTACTTTCAGTGATTTTGATAAATTTGACAAAATTGTCAGCATAACTCTTACTATTGTTGAATTTACTGCCAAATTTAGTTTACTCTTGTCATTGTAATTTCACTCATGTAGGCAATGTTTCAATACTTATCAACAATATCAAAGCTGGTATGTCAAGTAGAGGAGAATTTACTTTTTTTTTTCAAATTACTCAATGACAGTTTCCTTTGGTATACTTTATAGAGAGGCACACTCAATACAACAAACAGAGTGACTCTGTTTCTTGGCTTTTTTATAAAAATGTAACCACAGCAAGTCCTGTATCCCTAACCTATTTTGACTACATGAAGCTATCCTGATTATCTGCTGTACATTACTACCAAATTATCTAAAGGTCAAATACACCTGTATTTCATCACTATTGTATATTCATTCTATCTAGCTGGGTAGAATAAGTATCACATTTTTTTAACAAATATGCATTGTCTACACATCCTCAATGTCATTAGAAGCCTGGCAAGATAATGTAATGAGTATAACATTCCTGAAACAATGCAATAATATATCTAAACCATTTTGCGCAGAAAACAGTGGCTAAAATTTATTTTGAAACAACTCATATTTATCAAATAATACTACATGTACTGTATTAATCTGAACATCCCTTATAGAGTAATATAACAAGAAGTTTGAGGGAAAAACTGTTAAAATAGTTTAACGACAGAGTCAACGATGATGAAGCAAGTAATGGAATGAATTAGGATTTCAAGTACTCACTGTGATAATGCTCTATTGATGTGCTGAGAAACTCACAGTTCTGATACTTGTAAAGACTGACTCACATCACTAGTTAAGCAGCATATATTGTGTAAACAGTGCAGGAAACATATCCTTTGATTTTAGGAAGAGGATATTAGCTCTTCCTCTAAATTCTTTATCTTTCTAAGGCACAGCCACCACTTCCACTTTATATATGCAAATTATTTGTAAGAACTCGTAATTTGCCTCCATTACCTATCTATTCAAGGTCTGTTAACAAATTCCTTGAACTTGATGAGCCTAGAATTAAGATAGTTGGCTATCATCAAAATAAATTGCTAGATTTCATTGACTTTTACAATGAGGTTTATGTTATGCTTTTGATCACAAAATCCAGATAAAAAGTTTGGCAACTGTAGTATTTTTGGCACACAAAATAAACCAAAGATTCATTTAACAATAATGATTTTTCAGCCATTTACCACTGAGCCATAGTAAGGTTGCATCATATCTGAAATTGTTTTTTAACTGGATACTTATGGTCAATTCAACAATTATCTAACACTTTAAAAACAAAAGAAAATGTAAATTTTTTCACTCCTATTTATAATAGATTGAAAGGTTCCTTTAATTAAATGAAAATGAACAAATACCTAAACCCATTTCCATGACAACAATGACCTTGTGATTTCCTCCAAATTATTAAGCCCTACTTGTGTTCATTATGAATTTAAAATTAATCAAAATACATACAATTGAGATTTATAATGCAAAACATATTTCGGGTTCATTGGGGTATTTGTTTTCACTACAGTGTAAACATACTCTTCAAATTACACCAACCAGGCATGTATTTAGGAATTAGGATTTGAATGACAAGTTTAAACAGCATCAGTGGAACTTTCCATAACACGTACTTTGTACACATGTAAAACAGGTGTGAACACTAATCTCAGACCATAGAAAATGTTTAAATGAAAATAATTGGATATGCACTGTGCTGTTTACACTTGAAGCTGTTAAAGTTGATAAGAAACTACTTGAAAAATAAATGTATACAGTTGCTTTCTTTTAAAGCTATTTGTTCATTGCTACTATAGTCCTATAACCGACAGACTGTTAATCTGCCAGACACATGGTCTTTGCGAGCATCAACATTATCATAACCTTTATTTTCACTCTGGAAATCAGTAAATATTATAAAATGTGGAGTGTGTTTTTGACTCCGTGTGCGAAGCACAAAAAGGGAGGGAGTCTTTGCAGTTAGTGTGTCTGTCTGTGTGTCTGTGTGTGTGTGTCTGTTCCACTGATATCTCAAGAACCATACATTGATTTTTGATGAAACTTTGTGCATAGATGCTCTGGGCCAATGCGCAGATTTGATTAGGTTTTGGTAAAAAATTATGCATATTAATTACCTAATTTGCATGATAATTAGCTGATTTTTAGCTGTTCCATGACTGTTCCACTGATATCTAAAGAACCACTCATTGGATTTTGATGAAACTTGGCACATAGATGCTCCAAACTAATGTGCAGATTTGATTAGTTTTGGGTAAAAATCTGTGCAATATTAATTATCTAATTTACATAATGATTAATCAATTTTCTGCTTTTCCACTGATATCTCAAGTAGTAATCATCACATTTCAATGAAACTTGGTACATAGATATCATAGGACACTGCACAGACCTGATAGTTTTTAGGGTAATATCAGTAGATATTAATTACCTAATTTGCATAATAAATTAAATTTCAGCTTTTGATATTTCAAGTAGTAATCATCACATTTCAATGAAACTTGGTACATAGATGTCATAGGACACTGCACAGACCCGATAGTTTTTAGGGTAATATGAGTACATATTAATTAACTAATTTGCATAATTAATTAATTTTCAGCTTTTGATATTTCAAGTAGTAATCATCAAATTTCAATGACACTTGGTACTTAAGATTTTAATGAAACTTTTAAAGAGAACTAAGCAGAGACCCAATTAGTTTTTGGTAAATATTTATGCTTATTAATCACCTAATTAACATAATTAATTAACACTGATATCTCAATTACTGATCATCACATTTGAATAAAATTTGGTACATAAATGCTCTAGGACAATAGACAGGCCTGATTAATTTTGGGTTAAAATTTGTTCATATTAATTCTCTAGTTAGCATAATAATTCATAATTTTTTTGTTCTGTTCTGTTCATATTAGTTACCTGATTTACATAATTAGTTTTCAGCTTTTCCATCAATATCTCTTGTACAAGTAATTTTTAATGTGTCTTCAATACTCTCAGCACACGGGAGTTCTTTCTAAGCTTTCTTTGATTTAATCTGGAGTCTGTCCATGTGTGTGGCTGTCTGGAGCAATTTCTCAGACATTTAACACAAAGATTATGTATGATGACTTAAATATGCATATTGATTTTTTTTACTATTAGATCAAATATGGCTGACTGGCGGCTATTTTTGTCCTCAAATTTGCTAAATCCTGATACTTGTCTGGAACCATTACTAAGAGCTGGACAAGGCGGTTTCATTCAAACTTTGTATCATGATCATGTATTTGGTCTCTGGTTCACATCATCTTGTTTTTGAATTTGGACAAAAATGGCCAACTGGTGGTCATTTTGTTTTTTAAAAAAATGTTGACACAGGCATGCATACTTTGATGAAAAAGTTCAATCAAGAAACAAATATGTTGTCATCTGATATATCACCCATCAGGTTAAGCATCAGTGGCCAGCATACTGTATACCGGTAATACTTGATTTTAGCTGCAATTATTACACAAGTGAATCATCTCTGCATGTACCAGTGGTATCTATACTGTATTTGCTCTATCAGAGGTGTTTCTATGATCAAAATGAGTAATATTTGATTGAATCAGTATACAACAAATACAGATTTTTGGTTTATATGTGCTTCTATTGGAGACACGCTTCTAATAGAGAAAATATAGTGACTACAATGTGTAATTTTCTCCCTACTGTTCATAGTTGGTATTCAGTTAATACCATGCAAACAGGTTAATAACATGCAGTAACATGTTGCTAACTGTCTGTGTATAACAATGTGCAATAATTTTTTTTTCAGATTTGTAATTTTCTGGTGAATTTAAGCAGAGATTTCAGTTCCTATTACAGAAGAGTACATATTCTCACGGTAATTATGATACATTTTTATTATTCTCCATTTAATGTAGTCAGAAATGTGGACTTTGGTTCTGTCCATTCAACGTTATTTTTCAGACATGCCTGGACCAATTGTGTGGTATACAATATGCCGTATTCACTTTTACCAGACTGATGGTTTGATCCCAAAACAAAAAATTTTATTCGAACTGAACATGTTATCAATCATTTCTCAGGCATGCCTTAGCTGCATCAGTAATGGTGGGTAATTAATGCACATCATTTTGTTTTGAAATTTGATTGAATGATGGTATAAAATTATATGAGGAAAAAAATGTCTGTTCCTGTTGTCATCTTTGACTCTGTCGTTAAACTATTTTAACGGTTTTTCTCTCAAACTTCTTGTTATATTACTCTATAAGGGATGTTCAGATTAATACAGTACATGTAGTATTATTTGATAAATATGAGTTGTTTCAATATAAATTTTAGCCACTGTTTTCTGCACAAAATGGTTTAGATATATTATTGCATTGTTTCAGGAATTTTATACTCACACTTTCCATGCATAAATCCATGTTTGTATAAATCCATTTGCTAATCTAGATTTGAAATGGGCAAGGTTATATGTGTCTTATTATTAAGAATGTACAATGTACCTTGGCCAATTTTGTTCACAGTTGGTACAAAACCAAGACATTTTTATACATTTGTTTTTTATTTTATCTTTGACTGACTAACTGATTGAATTTTGAATTGAACTAGTGGTCTTTTTTCTCTCTAATTCATCCTACGATACTCATTTCTCAGGTAAACTTTTACTGATTTTCAACACCCTTTGACAGTCAGCAGGTGCCTACGTTGTGATGATGTCTGCCTGTCCATTCATTTGTTCGCCTGTACAGCAAATTTGTGAATGCAATATATAAAGAATCAGAATCAGATAAAACTGAGCAGTAATATTCTAATTAGGTTTGGGTACAAAGCAGTTAACAATTAAGAAAATTCACATATAATTGAAATTCTGATTTCATTAATATTACAAGAGCCAGTGCTCAGATTCTCTTCAATATATATTTATATATACCAAAATAGAATTGCAAAACCTTTTTTGGTGTTGTTAATAATATGTGATTTTCCCATGTTCAAAACAATGTGCTTTAATTAGTTTTTTGGCTTGACCGTGACGGCAATTTAAAAAGTACATTTATTTTCAAAAAATATGCTCCATTTTTGTATTTGGCAACTCACTAGTATTTGTCAACAACTCTGTGTAACATTGCTCTAATGCAACCTGTATAAATCATATCATATTGTCTGTATGAGTGAGAACTTAAAACAATTTTGTTATAGTTTTTGTGAAGAAATCACCTTGTATTTGTTTTTATTTCATTATCACAGATTTATTTTACAATGTAAATCACTGACTTTGAACCAAGCATTGCATGGAATATTGAAATTGACAATGTATTTCCTAGACTGCAAAGTATTGTATAAAGTAGTTCAATAAGTAACAATTAATTATCACCTTAAGGAAAATTACATTATTTTTTTTGTATAAGCAAAATATCCATTATTTTGGGAGCCGCATTTGCAGTAAAACAACAGTCATCAGAATTGTCTGGTCACTGTAGTGCTGATTATTTCAAGGTAACAGACAAAGTAAAGATAAGTGTCAGCTTGTCTGAAAAATTGACAGTCAATCATTGACATTTGACAATGAACGATCACTTAGCAGCGAATTGACCTGATGAATTATATCTATAAATAGTTTGCCTAATTCCCCTGTTCATTGATTCCTTCTTTTTTTTCAGACCTACATATTTTAGCCACAACAGGAGCACTTCTAGAGATCTCTGGTGTTTAAATTTGGTAAAAATGAAAAAAAAATAGTTTAAATATGCTCTTGATATGAACTCACACTTATAATACGGTATTGCTGATGCACATCAGTTTGTTTTGCTCAAAATGGACAATAGTTTTATTTTTATGTGTTCTTCTTTCATGTGTTCCAAGCTGCTACAACGACAAGATACCTGTTTGTGTCTTCATATGTTAATTCAGCCAAATACATATGGGGATAATGTCATTGACAAGAGTCTATTGGGATTGAAATTGATTTTTTTTCAGCATGTGCTGACTAGATCCTAACACTAGTGTTGAGAGTCTGTAACGTAAACGTGGTAATTGACTTGTTCAATATTTATTTTGCATCTGTGCACTGTTTTTGGTATGTGGTTTTGTCACTTGGATTATTGATTTTGCACCTACCGATGACCTTCCTTAAATAGAATGTCAAACTATTTGTCATTCATTTTCAGGACTCAGTGCTACCTAGGGTATATTCTAAAATAAAAGTGCTATTGAAAATCATTTACTCTTTTGCAGTTCTGTGGTTATTACGTAGTTGAAATGACATAAATCTTGTTGTTTGAAGGTACAAAATATTCATTCAACATCCACATTCAACATTAAATGTAAGCAGTGAGAATGGTTGCATGGGTGAGTCAACAGACGCAATGTAGTGCAGATACCGACTGGCTGTTACACTATGTCCTCTCAGAATAAGCAATCAAATTTTATATACAATAATATATCCTAGCACAGTGAATATGCCATAAGTGTGTAGCAATACAGTGAAAACTCAGATCAGATGTCAGACTGTTGGTGTTCAGTTGGTAGAAACTGGACTAGATCCAGTTTATATATGTCTTCTATTATATTTACAGAGATTTGTAAGACCTTGCTAACTGGTAAATGTATGGCAATCACTATTTGCATATCAACACAGATTGTGATAAATTGTGCTAAGAAGTACATAAATCTTGTATAAAATCAAAATATAAAATAATAATTCATATTTATAAAGATGCATACATAGATAGCATAGGAATAATAGTTGCGTTCATGCACAGCTCCTTAGCACGGGCTAAGAGGTCAGATTCCGTAGCCTGTGCTAAGAAAACGTGGGTGAACGCTTAGCACGGGCTAAGGAATGCTAAGTACGGGTTAAATCTGATCCGAATTTAAGACGCGGTCTAGACCCTGAGCATGGGCTAACAAAGTATGCGCGAACGCTTAGCCCAGGGCTAAGTGCCCTCTGCGGCTACCTTTGGGTGTGAAAATTGTCCCATGTTCGTATAACGACTCTATTCCACCAGTCATTACTCCGCGCTCGCTTCCACTCTGATCAGGTCGCTGTAGTAGAGCGTAAAGCAGCTCCAATTGTAGACAAAATAAATTTGGTTCGCTGTCTACGACATGCATTAATAAAACTCTGTATTCTGTTATGCCCGTTGTATACTGTTTCTGTGCATTCAAATAAGTTGGGTCCGTCTTCTCTCGCGTTCCTGTGCACACCGCTTCAAAATTAGAACAAAACATGCCAGCAGCAGAAATAAAACCTCGCGCGTCATCCATTTTTCGTTCGTAAATAGCGGCTTACCAAAGGTCACCGACTAATGGCACCCCTTAGCCCGTGCTAACGACTGGCCTTCCCTGTGCGTGGACACAATTGGGTCAAGCCAAAATGCAAATATGCTAGATAAGCCTAAATCAGCTTAAATCTTAGCCCGTACTTCGTGTAACGTGAACGCAACTAATGTTGGCTGGTTGGTATGCTGAAGCTAATCCATTTACAGTTGGTACAAACAAGATTCTTACAGGGAGTTAGAAAACTCATTGCAATATTTTGAGGATTTATCTAATGTTATGAAAACAATCTGCTAATAGATAAGTCCACTGACAGACGGGCATCAATTTTGGTTTGATTATCTGGGACATTGCAACATTGTTTTGACGATACAAAGAAAGTTTTAAATTATCTGTATAAATCTTATTTGCAGTCACTTCAACCATCTGGGATAGTTGATTTGGGGTTATTGGAACATTGAACATTGAAGAAATCTCATTTGCGCCCACTATAAACCACTTTGAATATAATAGACATATGCAACAAATTTATTGTTATTTGGCCACTACAAACAAATCATAATATTATGAACTGACAATGAAAGAATACTACATTAAATACTTCAAGTGTTGGATCGATATTAGAAAAATTATCTCTGAAAGGTATCAGCTGATAAAGTATAAGTACTTGAATTCTGTCAACTCTGCAAATACCGGTAAAGCACACCTGTTATCTTGTAATGACGCGACAATTTTACTCCTGTAGTCGTGTTTGTGTACCATGTTTGGGTTTTTTCGTCTCTTTATAACCATAGTAGCCTGGTTAAACTAGACACAACCATGTCTCCATTACATTATTGGGTATCATCACTCTGTAGTGTGTAACCACAAAGTATTTTGTGGCTTCAATTAAATTTCAGAATTGGAGCCTGAGTCAGACCTGGCCTTCAAATGTGACACAAATATAACCTGCAAAAGAACATGTGTTAACCTTTTCAGTAAAGTTGTCTCTCAATCAGAACATTGTAAGTGTACAGAACATCAAGAGTACATTCACTAGAACAAAATGATCAGTAAAGAGCCTTTTGAAAAATGTTGTACATATACTGTTAATTCAAGTTCATGAAATTAGAGCTAAACCACTATAATTACATGCATACAGTGATGTACAAATAGGATGTTAGCTTATTTAGTTTATCATCTCTCTGTAAATGAATACTAAATTTGAATTTCATATTATTCAATTACAAATGCTGTTAAGATGTTTCTTTAGATTAATACCGGGGTATATCAATATATTATTTTTTGCTGTGTCAGTGGCATGTCAGTGAATGAGCATAATTAGTTGAGTAAGGTGCATCATATCAGCTTAGAAGGCACACTGTTCAGGAGAGTGTTTAGTAATCAAAGTTTGTTTTTTTAATCACAGGAACCAAGACCTCATCTGTTGCCTACAATGTTTGCCAGATTACATCTTATGAAAGCCATCCAACAAGTTATGAAAAATGCTTTTACACTGCTACATATCACACCATTGGAGCAAGTGTAGATTCAAATATAGTTCAAGTGAAGGAAAAAACATAAACGTAACTGTAACACACCAAAACCTTACTACTCTTTATAATGCTATAGATAATTCACACTGTTATGTACTATGCTGCCATGGACTTTTATAGATATTCACACAAAGGAGTACAAGGTCAGGAAACCTGAGTCTGCATACTTTTGTAGGCAGAACCATAAATGATGTACCGATTGGCATGTCAACAGATTTTCAAAATCTTTACATAATTTGGAAATTTAAACTTGTTTACCACCATCCCCTCCCAACCACTGCTTGATTCCAGTAAAAACAAAATTATTATAATACATGGCACTGGACTGTTACAACATTCTCAATTTAAGGTACATATTAATCACCTGTTATGAAATGGTATATCCCAAATAGAACTGTCATTCAAATGAGGCCATCAAGTCTAGAATAACACAAACTTCAGAAGTGGAATTGCTGACTGAATAATGTTTGATGCCAACACGATTGTATTTCGATTTTGAAATTAAATATTGTCACTACAATTTGAACTTGAATATATGCCCATTCAAATGTAGAAAAGTAATATTTATCTTTCTGGTCATCGTGCACATCAGTTTGTGTCTGTCACAACTTTAGGGTCTGCTTGGTAATTGAATTGCGCCCTCACAAGGCAGTAAAGACAATTGTGAACAGCTGAACAATTTGAGTTTTTTTTGACAGATTTCACTAATAAGTCAAGTGTTATGTGCATCTTTACGACTGACTCTCATACTGATGGTAATTTATATTTTGTTTCTTTTAAAAAACTAACGTAGGAAGTATTTATTGTGCAGCGCCACCCAGATGAGTTTATATGCAGATTTGTTTGTTTGTTGATTTTGTGAGAAGATTCATACAGAACAGAATACTTGTGTTGAGTTTTTTAAAAAATCCAAACTATTTTGTAACTATTTTTAGTGCTTATGGGACAGACGTGAACAATAAAATATTGTCCTAACAAGAAAATTGGTCCTGCTATTTTTAAATTTCACTTATGTTGTGCCTGAATGTATTCTACAAAACATTTTAAAAAACTAATTGTAAAACAGAAAAGTAAAAGAGATCAGATCTTTGTTAGATAGTCTACGTTGGTTTCCTCTGATAGAAGTTTTATACATTAATCACACAAGTCACACTAACTGTGCTCAGTATCTTGTAAATATCACTATGCTTCATATACGACTATTAGTTGCAATTAACGACTTGTACAACAATCAATGATAACAAGAAATGAGAGCAGAAACTACACCATTTACATAAATACATATAGACCATTTTCCGTACACTGCGAGAATCACGCGTTATGCGTGAAATCGAACGTAAAAACAGGACAAACAAAGGTCATAGCGTCGTAGTCGCGTCAAACATCGCGTGGGATTCGACAAACGCGAAAGTATTTTGGGGACATTTCCATGCTTAATAATGTGCTGTCCACATTTGATGATAGGCAATTTCGATTAAGTGAGGGTATTCGGAAGCAATATTCCTCTGTCAAAGATCGGTCGGTCAATGTAAGCTGCGAAATAAAGAAATTCTCGTTCAAAATCAAATCGTTCGATTTTTGCGGCAGACGTTCGACGCGCGTCTTTCATGCATCTCGCGAGATCTCGCAATTGTTCGGAAAATCATCTATTGAAACTAAATACCTCACGAGTACGAGTTATAGGTACTGACTCCCATTAGCAAAGTCATGGTTCAAACCCAACTTGAACTACCTTTTCAATACCAAAACCAAAATGTATTTTCAGCAAAAATTAATTCCCCCTAAAATAGCAATTACTAATCTATATAAAGACAAAAGACCATGTGTGGAGTGATGAGCACAACTTGTTGGAAAGGTAGTGTGGACAGCAAATCATTGCCACCAGAGGGGGTAATTTATATGGAAATATGGTGTGGACAGCCAACAAAACTTATTCTTAATTGCCACTAGAGGGTGCACTTTACACCACAGCTTGAGGTTCCACAAGTATGTTAACTACTGAAAATAAAATATACATGCATACCTTTGTGAAATTTCTGGTCACACAATCCCCTTGCTTGGGCATTTATTGCAATCACATATTCAAAGCATAGTCGTTTCAGCCAACTTGCATTCTTTTTAGTCATGTTTGACTTCTCAAAACCATTGGGCATATTACTGCCATTTTCAAACCACTTTTGGTCATGTGACACATTGTTATATGGCCATGCGTTTATTTCTTCAGCCCCGATTCGTTGTCCATGTAGATTTTAATAAGCCACTTTTTGTCAGTAGTCTCCAGTTTTGTTGCATATGCAATTAGTAATGACCAATTTTGATTCACACACTTGTTAGTGTCGGGCATTTCTAAATCTTGCCAGGCCTCAAGGTTTAGAATTTGGTCAAGCTGGGTTCAAATCGCATTGATAGCCAGTATCTATAAGCCCTACTTGGAAGGATTTGGTTGGCTCGTGTATAAACTATAGTGGTTTATAGTTCCATGGTTGGCTATACAGATGTAAACATTTCATATATAAGGGATATGCACTGAATACTCGTGTTTATGGAATTGTACTCTTCCACTAGCAGGGCAAAACATTTTCATTGAATTGTACAATTGCTAATTGCACCTTGTAACTGACGTTTTAAGTGTAATGGCCAGAATTATGGTCAGTATCTGTGACACTAGCCATAAAGTGAGGCAGTTGCACTTGAACAGCATGGCTACAAGTTGTAATTAAAAGGCGGCAGTCGTCGTACCGCGTCCTGTTCGATATGGGACTCATAGCGGCGTATACAACACGTGTAAAATACATTATTTACATGAAATTCGAACACGTGCCGACCACCGCGCTTTAACTACACTTGTCAGTTTTTTCTTTCTAGATTATTTCAATATATCTTAACAATAGGGTTTGGGTTGGACTCTCCAATTACCAGTAAATGCAAAACATTACAAGAACATAGTTGAACTCTGGCGACCTTGCCCTTTGTTATATAATATAATTCCCTTTATCATAGTTTGTTTCAATATAAATATGCATTGTCATAATTAATTTTGAATACAAACAAGTTTTGGGGTTGAACAAACAGTGGGGAATCAGTCTACCGAATGTCCTTTAAAGATGTAAATATCTTACAAAAACATTGGTGCCTTATTTGTTTAATCATTTTAAGAGACATAATTTCCAGCTTTATTCAAAGTAATTCAGATATTTTAGTACAAAAACAAATGCCTCACCGCAAAAAAAAAAGTGCTGCATTTAGATGTGAATAGATTCATAAAACATGCAAGATAACAGAAAATCTTAGCTGGCTTTTGTCCAAGTATTTTGTACAGGTGTCTGTAAAAAATTAATGATTCACTGAGACAAATATGAACTGCCTCATTGTGTGACTACTGTATTATATGAAAAGTAAAAAAAAACACCTATCTATCATTCTGTTCTAATAGCTGAAACATATTCCTGCGAGTTTTCATTTATCAAATGAACTGTTTGTCAAATACAGAATACATATATTTTAGAACAATTTTCTTTTTAAAATGTGGATGAAATGTTTTGCTTTTTATGTATTGTTTTTGATTTGATAACTTTGAACTAAACAGATTTTCTATTAGCTTCAGATCTTGATCAAAGTTTGGCACCCAGTTCATAGGAGTGCTTATATTGATTTTCTGACATCTTGTTTTCTGTAAAGATTTTATTGGTAGGTTTGCAAATGTGTATCAGACTGCATTCTCTCCATGAGTTGGTTTTGAAACCCAGTATGGGCTTCTGAGATTTATTACAAGATAAATCATTTACTTCATTGAACGCATACAACAATGCATATTTCCACTGAGATCAGTGACCTTTGATGTGTATCACCAGTGATCAGTCAAGTAGAAACAGTCAAAATATTTTATCAGATTTTCTCAATTTTTGCATGATATTTTCATACAGGACATCTGTTGTTCAAACTCAGGGAAGACTTTATACTGATGAATAAGGTGACCAAGTTTGGTAAAGTTTGGAATAGAATTAGTAAAGTTAGTATGCACATAACAATTAACGCCGACGCCGACGACAACGCCGGACAAAATTTTCCCCTTAATATACCTTTCCCTTCCATCTTTGATGGTACGGGCAAGGTAAAAACCAAAAGCATTACTTTGGTGACCAGTTGTCTATACATCTATTCTTGTATTGCAGGCAATCTTCAATTCACAATTATCTGCATTTCTTTTTAAACAAGCATTCATCAAAATGACAACATCCACATTAATATATACCACAATCAGAAAACCTTTCTACAAACATTCATCACTCTGAAGAAATGCAACAATCAGCATGATTTATGGCAAAAAAAGGAATTTTTAATATTTTTTAAAATGCTGTACAAATAAATTTGGTGTCTTTTTACAGATGTCGCGCATATTAGAAATAATAAATGTGTACAATAAATAATTTCTCACAACTGAGGTATGTCACCATCTTCAAACCCTCTTATTTGCCACCAATTTTATCCCCCCCCCCTCCCCATGTGTGTGTAGTTTTTTTAAGGCCTTTTCATTATTGGAAACTTATTGCAAAGAACTGCAAATACTATAGCCAACTATATACAAAGGGAACTAAACTGCCCAGATATGTCCAAAAGCGCAAAAATAAATTTCAGTTGTTTAACGCCTTAATTTATCTATCAACTTCTGCACAGAAGTATTCACAATGTTTATTGCAACTTTCTGTAATAAATATTTCCTTACTTAAAAAAAAACAACACTAGTATATATACTTCTAGGGTGTCATTTAAAAATGCAAGATAAGTATTGGTCTTGTACGAGAGCTGTCAAAAAATGGGATACATGGGAGTAAAAAAAAATTATACACCGTACATTCCCATGATCCTTAACCATAAGACGGCTGTGACAGTGTTGAGGTATACAAATAGCAAAAGATTATGGAGCAGGGCAATATTCTTCTGTCATGGTACCTATTGGTTTGCACTATAAAATTTATTTCTTAAAAAGAGCAAATAAAAGAATTTGTTTAAAAAACTTTCGCATTGTCGGCGGCATTAAAATTAATAGAAAGACTACATATACAGACTACGGCATTTGCTCTATTTAAAATGCTGGCGCTTAGATCAAATCTTGCATACCAAATCTTACATTTTTGGCACTTCTAATAGAGCAAATACAATACCAATAAAAAATGACCATTTATTAATTCACTTTGGCAAGATTGATTCATTAAGGTACATGTATTATTAAAGAGATGATCCAATAATCTTAAATATACTCTTTTACAATAGACTTCTTAATATTCCCTTAAATCTAATTGTTCAAGGCTTTCATAAGTGCTAATTCCATGAATACTGTTTTGTTTGAATGAAATATTGCTGTTAACTGATATTAGATTGATGCAAGATGCAACACCCATCATCCCCATCTACTGTAAATGGAATGACCCAGTGAGTCAAAAATAATATTATTAACACTGAAAATGGCAATTTTCTATTTTACAGGGGGTAGTTTGGTTTTGTTTTTTTTACTAAAAAAAGGGGGGAGTGGTAATCTTGATGAAATTGAATTTTCTGTTGCACCTGTGAAAGTGAAGAAATCTATGCAAAACAGAATGATCTAAAATATAGAGAGGGGTTAAGGTAGGGTCATTATTTAGAAAATTATATTTCATATTTTATTATGGCACTTGCATGAATCTAGCAATACCAGCATTTGATGACCAAATACCACTACCAATGAGGGCATTTGTGTAATACCTAATGCAGAGCTAACAAGATTCACAACATAGAACTTATTTATATTATACCAATTTGTAAATCAAAATGCAAAATACACTGGTTGAGTTGCGACAGATAATTGTACCGAGAACAAAAATAAAAATGTTTGATTCCTGCAACCAAAAACACTTTCATCCTCCAAAAGCTTTGAATCTGGTTGGTTGCCATAGTAACATTGCTCTTAAAGCACTATATAGAAAGATCTGAAATACTGAATATTTCAATTTATATAAAATTGTCTCCCTTCAGGGGATATGACATAGAAAAAATTTTCTTTTCAATAATTATTTTTCTGTACCTAAAAATATTGTCTTTAATTCTGCCAGCAGTTGTCCCCCATATACAAGAAGAAATATACATATATAAAGTTTCATAGAAGCCATATTTTTAAAACTGCACTTATTTACACGCTGCTAGGGCTTTCTTGGTGAGTTCTGTTCATTTGCGTTGGGCTCCTAGAGTCCCTTAGATAAGAGTCTATTGTTCTATGCGGTAGCACTCTATGTGATGGCACTGTCACAAATTTATCACCTATCTCCAACGGCGATGAATGCTGATGATTATGATATGTATGAAGTGATGAATTATGGTTATTTGGAGGTGTACTTGTAGCAAGGTGAGGTGAAGCACTTGTAGTTTCTGTGTGATATTCTGCAAATTAATTAAAAGAGAAAAAAAGAGCTCCCGGTTAGTGATGATGTAAGCATTTACAAATTGAGATACAAATGACGTTAGCCAGAAAATGAAAAACCCAGCGAAACTTTAGAACAAAATGTAAACCTTTGACAGCCCAAAGCACGAAAACATGCACTTTTCAACACATAAGCACAGTAATAACCACAGATAAGCCATGCTGAAGATATTATTAAACCTAAAAACTATGAGCTTTGGGTGCAAACTGACCTTGGGGAAACCTGGGGTATCGATGTAAACTGGTACCATTATAGCTGCTATAGGGAGTGTTCCTAGAATTGTCTGTACTCAGATCTAAGCCACTATCACAGCCTGGTGGCTCATTTTGGTGAAAAAGTTCTTGTATTGTTTTATCAAGCGCATGTTCCTCCCTAGGATATGGGTGTGTAACAACTGCATTATCCAGTGAATTATGTCCTGGGTATTCCACCGCATCCATCCGGTGAATATTGTCATGAACTGGCACTGTAATGTGCATTGGCGAATGCATTGGATTAACTGTTATATTGGGTGTAGCAGCGATATGAGGCTGCGACATTGAAATATTATGGTTGTATGATGGTAAACTTCCTCTCAGTGCAGGTATGCTATTTGGATCAGGTGTCCTCCTTTGCATTGGTGGACTTGGCATTCCCGGTATGGTTAGTACACTATTACCTAGAAGACAAGAATACAAACATTTTACAACTTGTACAAGCAATAAATGTTTGCAAGTTGCAAGATGAAATTCTGACACAAGTCAAGTGAATCTGCAAACAATGCACATATCCATTCTTCCACTATCATGAAACTATTAAGAATTGATACAGCATACTGCCAAACTGACGTGAATGTAGCTTATAACTAAATACCGCCGTTGATTCTTTAAAAAAAAACAAAAAAACATCACATTTCCCACTCTGGTAACGTTTTTGCCGCAATGTTACATGTATTCAAAACACATTGAGTGTTCCCTTTTACTTCACAAGAAAACACAGTGACCAGGCACATGCATTTCTTACTGGGGACAAAATCTCACACTTTGAACAAGTCTGTGCAGTTTAATCTCAAGTCATGCCATGCCAAATGTTTCCATTACTGGGCTGTAGGAATATACATCATCATTCACACCTGCTATTACCTCCCAGATATTCAAAATTAGGCCTGTATTGTGTAACTTACTGCAAAGTGACCAGCATGTTACATATGGCATATTTACCTGAATTTTCAGCTGGTGCCTGCACGTCTGATGTTAACGGTATTGTTTGAGTTTCATGCTCAGTGTCACTGGGGAATATTGCAGCAGTACGAATTCTAGACGGCAAACGGTTACCACCACCGCTAATTGTTCCTCCATACCTCAGTGAATCAGACTCGCTATCACTGCTCAAATTATCAGTCCTTCCTGAAAAGTTAATAAAACCAAGCGATTAGGCAAGATGCTTATATTGACATTTATTATTTTAGATATCATCCAACATTTTTTTTAAACTAAAAACAAGAACGACCATCAGGAATTGAAGAAGAAACATGATTAGTGATTAGATTTAGTGGAAAAAGTACCAACATTACATATACACGTGAACATAGAAAAATTTATCTTATTAACGAACATTGTTATAGACGAATAAAGAAAGTCGGACAAATACAAGTTAATAATTAATACAAATATTGTGCAGCTTGTCTAACCAATACACCATACGATACAATCCATTAAAAGAATGTCGCAAGGGTATAAAACTGTAAACACTAATAAATTTACAATTTGTCCCTCTTTTTCACTACAATATCATACCTGATATTGAGGAATTTGGTGGTTGAATGGCTGGTGACGAGTGCGTACTAGACTCGGCATGCAAAGTACCTTGAGAAGACGTATTATAAGTGGAACTTGGCAATTCAGGTGGTAATGTAGTTTCATCTACAAGAAATGAAAATAAATAGCAAATTAAAAGATAACTACCACATATTAAGGACACTATTATGACATACAATTTTATCACATGAGTTGAAATGTTCCTCAAAAAAAGGTACAACAAATAACACAGGTAGAGACAAAGTGAAAGAATGATGTTTTGTAATAGCCGATAATCTTTACCTGTATTTGTGGGTCCAAATTCTTCTCGTTTCTTCCTTGTTTGATAGATGATAATGACCCAGACCAGCGAAGTACCAACTACACAGCAAACCACTGCTATGATTATGATTCCTGTAGTTGTACTCTCATCATCCAACCCAAGTCCCCCTCTATTCTGTCCATTGGGGGCATTGGTATTGGCACTTACAGTCAACACTGCAGACTGTACAACAGTTCCCAGTGTATTGGAGATTTCACATGTATAAAGACCGGCATCACCCGATTCTGCATGCACAATGACTAAGAGTTCATTCTCTGAAGTAAAAAAATGTCTTTCAGTAATGTCTAGTGCATTGTCATCTTTCATCCATTTAATCCTGGGTTTTGGATATCCGCTGGCAGGGCATCTGAGGACTGCGTTCTCCCCCATCACGGCATCCACATCCTGCATAGGTTCCACAAATGATGGGGTTTCTGAAATAGAATTGAAATGCAAATGCTTACTAAACAATGTATAGAAATGTGGTCATCACAACACCAAAAACTCCCAAAAAAGTGAATATTTTCAATGCAGCTGTTATAAGATATTACCGGCTAAGCCACTTACCTAACACAGTTAATGTAGCATTAGAACTGATATTGCCAGCTAAACTTTGTGCCGTACATGTATAAACACCCATGTCTACTGGTTTGACGTCTATTATAAACACCACATCATCCTCTGGCATCATTCTCATTCTTCGTTCATTTGCTGCTGGGAAATCTGTACCGCCATCTTTGACCCACGCTATCTGTGGCTGTGGCTGGCCTCTGGCGGCACACTCTAGTCGGGCATTGCTGCCTGCTTTCACAGTGATATCTTGAGGAACTTTAATGAAGACTGGAAACACTGCAAGGCAAAAAAAAGTTAGTATGACAACACTTTCAATCTTTCAAGGTAAATTGGTTTTGCCACTTACCGTTAAAATCCTATTATAAACCGCGGCTTATATTACAATGTATCAAATACAAAATTGGGCTCAAGTTCGGGGTGCGGTTTATATTAGGGACATATTGCAATCACTAAATGGGTCATTTTTTCCCCCACATCACTCGCACAAAACAAACAATACACCGTACAATCTTTTGAATATAAGCGTAACTCCAATTTAGATGTCAGGGAAGAGTGATAAGCCTTACGTCACAAAAAAACTGTTCACATGAAAAAAAAATACTCTGTATATTTAATGTAATATGCATTTTTTTTATTTTCTTCGTAATGGAAAGTATATTTTGACAGGAGTTTCAAATAAAAACAAACATTAATGCATTGCTTAGTAGAAAATGATCATGGTACGGCACTAAAAAAGTACGGTACCGCAATCCGGCCATGCTTCGGCTCACAAGTGAATAACTTACTTGTTTTTGAACTGTTGAAATTGTTGAGTATTACTCAGTAGTGATTATAACAACGCACGAAAAATAAATTCGTTGAATTGTTATCAAATGCAAGTAAAATTCAACTTAGTTTCACCGTAAGCGAATTATTTCGGTCACATGTAAACGATTGATGCGACATCCGCCATGTAGTTTAAATGCACATGAGACATTACTTGACCGGGTAGGTCAAGTCGCTAATTAACCAATCAAAATGCTGGATGGTGCCCACGTGTTCAAATTACCTCAGTTCATTTAAATATGTTAATGACAGGTCACCGACTTCATGGTGAACGAAACCCGGAAGAGATTTACCGATAATGTAGTGCGATCTTTTGGCTTTGATTTCCATGGGAAAACGACATGACTTTTTTTTTTAAATCAAGAAATTAGTTGTTTTCGAAAGATAAACTGAGCATTGAAAAAGAATTTAACAGTTTTTCGGTGAGAACAGCTCATTGTCGAAAACTTGCGACACACTGACGTATTCATAAGGAGTATTGACAAAAGTTGTCACAAGACAAAAGCAGTTTCACTGCGTGTTTGACATCCTAACACTACTGAACAATAAAGAGGTGTGAATATTTTTAGGCACGTTGTCGAAACAAATGAATAGGATTAGAAACAATGTACCAGCTCGTTGAAACAAAGTCGGTCACGGTCTTGTTGAATTGGGGGTGCGGTTACTAATACTGTGGAATACTTTATTTTCGCTGGAATTCATTTTCGCTGAAAAGGTTTTTTGGGCGTTTTGTATGGAATTTATTTTCACTGATTTCTGATGAGTTTAATGTGAAATATAGGAAAAAAAGTATATTCACTGGATTTTATTTTCACGGAATCATCCCTTCAGCGAAAATAGCGAAAATAAATTCCAAGCGAAAATAAAGTATTCTACAGTAGGTACTTTCCATGTTTTCAATTTTTTTTGAGAACTCTTTAACACTGAAGCTGAAATCGGGGGTGCAGTTACTATTAGGTATGCGGTTTATAATATGATTTTAACGGTAAACATTGAGAACCAATTCTTTAAATTCCATGCTTTTTTTAACCAACTAACCATCTTAACGTTCATATTTTTATGCAATTTAATCAAACATATTGAACAGCACTATTTTTGAAACACTATGAAAAGGTTGAGAATATCAGTGAAAGGGTCAAGGGTCAAGGGTCAAAATTAGCATTGGCTGAATTCAAATAGAGCATCTTGCACTTAATAACTGACAAATCAACTTACCATACACCATTACTTTGGCTTTATCAGAATATGAAGGACCAAAATGATTTGACACAATACACTGATATTTGCCAGCATCCTCATCTCTGACATTCGGGAGCGTTAGCATTGTGATGAACTCAACCATATCTTCACTTGGCGCTTGTGCTTGTGTAGAAATATCGTAATCGTCTGTACTTAAAACCTAAAAAACAAAAAACGATAAATAATCAGATATTCATCAACAGGAGAGTTATCACAATTATTAACCATTTAAATGAATAACACTGAACAGCTATTTTGGTAAATAAGGACTGCAACCAGGTGCCATCATTTACAGCCTTGACCACAATTGACTAGACATAACTACCAATTTATAAGATACAAACCTTGTTATCTTTTTTCCATATAAACTGCATTGGTGAATCACTGCTACTTTCTGCCTTGCAGGTCAACATGACATCTTCTCCTTTCAGCGCCATGGTGGTTTTGGGGTGCTTTATCATTTTAGGTTTCGGAATATCCTCTGTAGTAAACAAATATATATGATTTAGCAACATCATCACCAATGATTTGATGTTAAGAATCTATTGTAGTTGCAACTACACAAATTATAATTGCTTCGCTAACATGCAGCAATCCCTTCATTTTTCACCATATGAGGGCGCCAAACATTAAATGACAGATCCAACTAATACTCACCACAAATGAATTTTTGTCCTTCTACATTGAGTATACTCTGCCCTTTCAATCGCTGTGGATGGGAACATTTCAAATCGATGGAATTCTCGTAACCATTACTTCGAATCCAATTTCGAATCCACTTTAGTTCGCAGTCGCATACAAGGCTTGTTGAATTTATACGGCTAAAATAAAACAAGTAATCAGATCACTGAATTTGTTTCTTCATATTTTACCGATAATGATATAAATCTTGTACATATTATGTTTGTGTATGTGCACGGTGAAACCATTTGTCATGAACAGTGCATGATGGAAAGAATAGAAATGTGACAAGCTTTTTAATTCCATCCTCTTAAACACGTTTTAACAAGTCAAAGTCACCTTCCAGCTAGGATAATCAAAATTTAGACTTTAGGAAATAAGGCAGAGTGTTGGGACAATGGAATACTTTTTATACTTACAGTTCTTTTAAATTCTGCATATTAACAAATGAATCCTCTTCAATACTAGTCAGCATGTTGTCAGATAGATCCCTACAGAGACATAATACAATAGCTCAGCAGGTTTGTTCTAAATGCTATTATGAGAGGTGTTAAGCTCCACATTTAATCCATTTCACCATACATACACATTGCTTTACAGATTCCCTATTCATTATATAGCTTTTATGCAGTCCACGTCAATTTCCACTGCTCTGGTGAGAGTCCCCGCCAAGTCACAACTGTTTGGGCTTAACAAAGATCACAGTTTTGGGTTCCTCTTTCCGCCACCTGCGATGTAATCACTTTCAAAGCCACTACAGGTGGTTTAGGTTTTTGTTTCTTTAAATAGCTCGGCAACAACTAGAAAGTGTAATAAATAGGCAGCACGAGATTTTATCCAATCAAATATGGAGAAAAATCAATCTGTAGATCTGAAAGAACAGTAAATACTTACAAGACTTCAAGTCCTGAGAGACCTGTGAACGCACGTTTATGAATGGACATAATTTTATTGCTAGCAAGACTGAGACGATGGAGTGCTTCAAGACCAAGAAATGCACCGGTTGTGTCTTCCACTGTCCACGAAATATCGTTGTGGTTCATATCACTGTAAAATAAGCAACATGTAAATTAAAACACAAATTAAATATTGCCGGACTGAGCATCTTAGTCGGTTTGAATGACTGGATAAAGAATCAACTGATCTGATGAAGTATTTTCTATATTAAAGCAATACTTACAGCGATTCTAATGAACTCAGTCCCATAAAGGCTTCATCATCAATATTAGATATCTGATTGTTTCCCATATACAGATTCTTCAAGGCCTGAAGATGCTTAAATAAATTGGTTTCCAGACTGTTCAGCATATTATGACTGAGGTCAATTTCCCATAATTCTTTGCAAAAATCCCATCCATCTGCCTCAATACTGCTAATTTTATTATGACTCAAAGTGAGTTCCTGTAATGTTGTCAGTCCATACAGCCAACTTTTCCGCACCACAGTAAGGTTGTTGTTATCTAAATGTATATTCTGAATTGTGTCCAACCCATAGAAGGCACCATCCATTAATTCGGAAATCCCATTGCGCTTCAGTCGAAGAATATGCAAATTTTTCAATCCTTTAAAGGCAAGACTGTCAATGGATTTTATTTTATTCCGACTTAATTCTCTGTAAAACACAAAAAAAAAAATCATTTATTCACACATTTGTTATTACTGGCATACAAGATTCATTTAAATGACCTCTGTCGTCACAATCAGTCATGTTCGATGTTACTTTTACAACGCATGTAAAATGCATTGTTTACAAAAAATTCAAAAAGTGCTTTACAACTGTGACATTTTAAAAAATTCAATAAAATAAGATACTTACAAATATTTTAAATTTTCTAGAGGTTCAAAAACTTTATCTAAATTAGAGATTTTGTTTTTGTTCAATTTAAGCCATTCCAGTGTGGTAATGTTATTAAAGCACCCAGGTTGTAGAGTTGTGATTTTGTTATTGTTGAGGTACCTGCGAAGAAAAAAAAAAAAAAAAAAAAAGCAATCAGAATTTAGGTGTTAAGACGAAGAGTAAAGGTCTCGTGAACAGAGAATGAAAAATTGCTTTTGCTCATACCGTATCCCTTTCAAGTTATTCAGATGTGCTTTTTTCTTTTGTGAGGAGACAAAAAAATAAACAACGCTTTTGTCCTGCAAATGGTTAAAGGGGGAAATAGCCTCGGGGGAACAAGTGTTAAAATGTCGCTTTTTTCACAATTGGGTCTCACTTTCACAAAAGAAGTGCCAAAAGTACATCAGACACAATCCTTCTTGCATAGATCATAAAGCCAAATCTTCTTTTTCTAGCTCCATGTACAAATCAAGCACACTTATTAGCATGAGGAGCTAATATTCTGGTCAGATATTGACGCAAACAGGATAGAAAGTTGCAACAAAGTCTGATGTTAAACAATAAGCAAGAACTTACAGCTGATGTAACATATTTCTACTTGGAAAAGAGCCACATTTTAATTCTTCAATTTTATTATAATTTAGATCCAATTCTCGAAGTGATGCGAGTCCATCCAATGAAGTTCCAGAGATGTCAATGATGTTGTTGTGGTGCCTGCAAAGATTAGAAATAAAAAATCGTTAAAAATCATTTTTTTTAAAGTAACTGATTGGCAAATTTATGTAATGTATGCACATCAACAGCCCGCAGTACCTGGCTTTGAATTAATACCATAAAGCATTTGTGAGAAATTGAAAAGTTGTCAACTTGCAGCAGTTCAATACTTCCTCATGCCAGAAAATAACAATACAAATGCCTATTATATATTAATTTTCTACAATACGTGTCCCTCCCATCTGGTGACAGTTTTCAACATCATTAAGCACGAGTTACTGTCAATTGACATTCAACTTGAGTAACGACACAATTCATGGGCACGAAATGTATAGAAATTGCTACAACACAGAGTTACACACACGCGTGCCAAATGGAGATTTCAATACATCTTAATCCCAGCAAGAGCAACAGCTACATCTATCAGTCTTTCATGCTTTATCACAATCCATTTTTGACAGATCTAGTCTATAAATAGACCTAAACACGAAACTTTCAGTACATTGTAATGGGTATGAAAGACAAACTATATGAAAAAATGACTCTATACAATACTATATATAATGGTACACAGTTTATGAATACCCAACACATCAACTAATTTTGCTAATTTCCCAACCTTCTCTTGCAGAATGGACTATTCATTTGGTACTGATGAATAAGACTACTGATTGAGGTGTGTATTTGATTTGAAATGGAGTTGTTGATTGTCTAGTCTATCTTATCAACCACACTCCAAACACATGGCGTGTTTTAATCCCCTGGTGAGCTGCACATGAGGTCATACGCTGACCCCACTATCCCTAAACACTGTATCACAAAGGTATTGCTGGCATTTCAGTGCAAAGAATCGAACAAAAATAACTAAATCTTATCCTAGAACACTAAATAAAAACCCTGTATATTTTTCATTCAACTAAATAACTACTTCTGGTTTCCTCCGATCAGTTAACTTTTTGTTTTACAAGTTGAAAAGAAGGTGGCCAAGAGAATAGTGCCAGTGCAAATAAACAGCATCTTACTAGAGTTTCTGTAGTAGACATTCCTTATTTTTAAAAAATCTGGAGGTCTCTATACAAATAACTCATAAAGACCACTTCAAGTAGAAAGCAAATAGGAAGGCAGCAATTCACAAAAAAAATAAAGTTAGCAGTTCCAAGGCTCCACCCATACTAAGTATTCTTCAGTCTTGGCAAACATTTAACCCAATGAATAAATAATGTCTTATTCACACTAAAAAAAATTGCACATTTTCTCTCTGTAATATCTGTAAACACTACAGACATGACAAGTCTACTGCCCTCTAGCACCTATCTCCTTAGTCGACTTTTGTTGTCACAGTCGGCTATGTTCTGCTGCTAATTTGCCTGCTCATAAGGCTGTAGTCGGTATTTGACTTGGCAGAGTAATGATTTTCAGATGTGCTAAACAGTAATGGAATGAGACTACTGGGCCTTTGGTGAGCAGCATGGGTTATCATCCTGGGTGTCCACTCATATCGGGTTTCATCTTGAAGTGTGATTTATGCATTACCCAAATGAACAAGGTTGTGCATTATACTGTGGACACTAGTGAACTCCTACACTATCTAAGGTCAAACACTCTAATTGCAGGTCATGTTTTGGGGGGGGGGGCTGTAGATATCTTGTAAGAGCTGCCATTGCTGTGCTATTAAATAGCTGTAAATGCCATGTCTGGGAAAATACATTATTAAATCTTGAAACAATGCGTATTATTTCAATTGAAATAAACGACGTAACACTGTTTAATTAAATACAATTTTCATCTTGCGCATTAACAATAGGTGATAAAACAAACAGGATGAGTAAGCGGTGCTTACTATATACCGACACCAGCACAACTTATTAGATCTCACAGAAACTCCATCCATAGGCACTAATGCAGAGTGTCACAATTCGTTTCATTTGCCCACTAACAAGCACACTTGTTTTGACTAAGACATACTTAAAATAAATCTACTACCCTTCCTCGGCTGTCAAATTTAACTTTTCAAAATAAAAATTCTGAGATTTGTTTTGTTTTTCTGCAAGGAGATTTTTGCTGGTAAACCATGAACTGTAGCAAGGAAAAACAATCTGCTATAGTTCAATATTCAATTGGTTTTATACCTAATAAGCTAATCACAATTCAGACAGCAAGCAGTATGGATAACCGCTGCGTAAATTACAAGCCTGTCCTATAAATTACATAGCTTCATTAGAGTGAAACGCTTCCCCTCAACCAAGGAAAATTGGCAACATAAATCTCCATGTTCTGACCTGAATTTATCATCTCAAACAAGATGGCTGCCTCCAGAGAGTATTTCTAAGGATATGTGTTCGGGGATTTAATTCCCAAAGCCCCATTTGCGAGTAACAGACCATTTTTCACTCATTTTAACATGTCATGTGAAATTGTGCTCAATTTAAAATCAAATGCAAGCCCGCTGGCATCACAGTCGTACAAGACACAGTAAATGCAGGGGAATTTTGGGGATAAATAGATTAATGGTTCATCAGCCCAACCCCTAACATTATCAATTACAGCGCATAACATACAAATACAATATTTAACTCTGTGTCACTGTCATACATCAATGTATTGATACAAAATTATTTGTTACAATGATCAAATATCATAAAAACGACGTTGGAATTTAGTGAGAACTTTTTGTTGACCTGTAATGCTGTTTTTCACATCTTGAAGCCCACATTTCATGAGTCAGACATGGTCTACATCTGACACTGCGTTCGTGCTTATTGCGTGAAAAAATGGGTCATTATCTACATGATATTTGTTTATTTTCACATTTATGTGGTGCCTCAGTACTGCAAGTAATGACATACATATGTTGGCAAGTTTTAAACAATGCAGAGGGCATTCCACATATTTGATATGACTAGTATATTAAAGATGCGCCGCTTCATAAAAATAAGAATTCAGCATACCGACATAAATTGTACTCCATACCACCATTTTTAATCAACTGATTGAAGTTTAACATGCAACCAGATTTTTTTTTTTTTTTTTCAACTCAAACTTAATTTAAAATATCATGAGAGGAATCCGAGTTAGAAGCATTTATAAACGAAAGCATTCAGGAATAGAATTCTGAAGATGTATGATGGATGGACTTACAGATAGTAAAAGGATTACTGTCAAAGATGTCTTCATAATTATATTAGTCACCGAAAGGAATTTTTAACCAACAACTTAGTGAGATTTTCCCCACAAGAAGAAGTTAGAATGCAGAAAAAGCAGGACAAGTTGGCTACACATGGAGAGGGTATGACTGGTATTCATCAGCAGAGTCATTTTTGCAACCAGATATCCCTTTGTTGGCAAAACAAACCAGTTTTACGGCTTTGCCCTTTCCTCCCAATCAAAATAGAAATAACTATTTGTATCCCTCTCCAGCGGAGTTAATTAAATTAACATAAAGAAATGATGTCCAATTGTTGGGTTTTTAAAATGAAGATAAATTTGGGCCAAACATTTTTAATACAAGAAGCTTTCATCACATAAAGTTAATAGCAAGGTCTTTTGGTGGATTCCAAGGCAAGCTATAAATATTTACACTTTACTGGAGTGTAAAGGTCCTGTATAACAGTTCTTGTTGTTCAGCACATAGGCACATGCAGGCCACGATTCAACTCTTTGTTTTTTTTTTAAAAGGACAAATTATCTCAATTGATGTATACACATTCCAACTGACACTGGCTGGCCTCCAAGTACGAAAAAAATGTATATATTTTGTTCTTACTAGAAAATCTTTTGATGACTCGTGTCATGCTCCCCGTAATTAAAATAAGGAAGTCACTCCAGCAAGAGGTGTAAATATCAGACAAATGATAATGTACGTAATAGTGCCAACTTGTAGATAGTCAATGTTTTGGTTGACTATACATTTCTGTCTTTTGTGTTTTAATCAAGCAATGATGGCCATGTAAAATGTCATAAAAATATACTTATTAACTTGTGGGAACCATGAAACAAATTTTGTTTTACCTCTACTGTATGCTAGAAGCAATCAGCATTTTTTGAGTATATACAAGTCAATGCAACAAATTAAACTGCCTAAAATTCAACACAAATCTCGAGTACCTACTTTGAAATAAAATAAACACAGATACAGTTGAGTCAAATCCAGTTCAGAACACCAATGCACTTACAACACCCGTTGCAAAATGTTCACTGGTATTACCTCTCCCAATGGGACATAAAGTATGCCATAATTGAGCCCATTTATGCTGGCATAAGGCATTCACACTTGTTTTTAAGCCCACACAAGTATTATGCAATAGTTACACCGGTGCTGATACACCTTTCCAGGGGGGGGGGGGGGGGGGGGGCTTAAACTCGGCCCCTTTATGTTTTTCTTTTATGCTAGCACAAAGGTTTGAACACTATAATAAAATTAATCTAAGTTTTAAATATTAACACATGAATAATTTATCAAGTAGCTCAATTTGAAAAAAAACACACTACCTGGTTACACTGATATTATGAAAATAAAATGCAAATTTTTGAAAAAGCAATAAAGCGTTGATAAATTCGGTTGCTAATGTGATTTCACAAGGAGTACATTCGGCATAAACTAGTGGTGAAATTTTTATTGAATTGTCAAATCTCCTAACAGTATGTCTCTTTACTAATTTGCAAATATGGAAAGAAAATTCAACATTATCTATGCATTTCCCATCATGCAACTGGGCAACACGTCTCCAGGCTCTGTTGCTATGGAGACCATAGAAGTGAAGTATAGCTGACAGATGAGACAGACTGGATGATGCAAACAATATGACAATATGGCAACATTATTCAGACACAAAAAAAGTCGTACTTACAGGCTGAGTTGAGTTAAGTTGATGAGTTTACCACCAAAATTTGGTATCGTTGTCAGTGAATTAAATGCAATTTTTCTGAAAAATAAACAAAAGAGTTATTAGTTTAAGCAGAAATGATGTCTTGCCATCTGATGTGTGGATGCAGTAGTCAAAAGATAATATATATTAGGCAGTGGCAACATTACTCTGGCCAGCATTGATCATGTACTTTACTTGAGGGCTACTACCAAATTTATCAGATCTCACTCTACCGTTGTACATGATACACGGACAGACACAATAGATGATGCACTTGTACACAATATGTCTACTTAACACCACTACAGTCTATTACACAGATGAAGCTGACAGGATTAACTCCAAAACAAAAGATTGAATTCCACACTTACAATTCCTGCAATCTTGTCAAATTTTCAAATATACTTCCATTGATGGTGGTCAACTCATTGTTACTCAGATCTCTGCAAGAAATAAAAAAATTTCAGATGAGAAAATGTTGATAGCCAGACATGCCATTGACTCAGACATTCTCAAAATAATTAGAGAAACTAATATTTCAACAATGATTCCAGTGTGCAGTACGTTTTCTCCTACATTTGTCTAGTGATACATTTTCACTTTGGTTGCTAGGCAACCGTGTGTGGAGAGTAAATCCATCTTTCTTTTTGTGCAGCAGACTGCTCAGTTACTCAATGTTAAGCCTGTTCTACCAGTTCGAACCTTTATCTATGACATTTGTTATTTTTGTTGACGATTAGAGTGAACTTTGAATTCATAGTTTTACTCGTAATTACAATCAGAATGCAAAGGTAAATATCAGGTAAATTCATGCTTACAAATTAAAGGTTTTCTTGATGGATATTCAAATAACAGGCCAAGGTATTTTTTCTTTTGCTGTGAATATGCAACTTCTCCAACTATCAAAGTCACTTTAAGCTATTATATTACTTGTATCACAAACCACTTTTTAGGGAGAGACGAAGAGGGGTAGTAAATCCCGGAAAAAAATTTTTTTTTAGAGGCACAGAGATTGAAAATTATGGTTTGGGGGAAGACCGTGAGACATAAGAACAATTTTGAAATAAGGCAAAATGATTAATGACAGCCTAGAGAAAATTGAAATTTCCAATGGTCCCTTGAAAAACACTAAGACGGTAGATTAAAATTAATCAAAGCCCCTTGGACAAACATTTCATGAAGAAATATTAAAAACTGATTGGATTTCATAAAAAAAAATCTAATGCAAAATTTATCTTTAAAATATTAATGTATTTAATCTTTTTGAGCAGAGATTACAAAACCTGATGTTTTCTTGTTCACAAAAAAAAAAAAAAATTGCAGGTAATTTGAAAGCTGCATTTTGCTATATTTATACTAATAGCTTTGGCTTGATAGACTTGTCATCCTGCATTAACCAACAATGCATTGTGATTTGCGTAATTAGTTACGTTTATTACTGATATATGAATTATAAACCACTATCCTCTGCTGTAACTTATAGTGTACAAGACCATACTTGAGGGCTACACATACGGTACACAATCAGGAGAATTCACAGAAATTTCGTAGTCAAAATGCAGATTCTAGATTGTAAATTTGATCAGACATGAGGAAATATTAAATATATACGCGCTGCATATGTAATATTTGCCACACATTTCTCTAGTGGTCTCTTGTTGATAGTTAAGTAATGAAACCTCTCTCAAGAAATCTAAGAAGATTACGGAAAGCACTCAAGAAAATGAAGCCAATAAACTGCATGCAAAAAGAAGCGTGATGGTGGCGACGAGACTTGATAACTTGTAAACCTTCAGGCCTCCAAAAATCACATTTACTTTCAAATCTATTCCGACACTTCAATTTAATCTTAGTTTTATTGAGCCTCGCTTACCTCAAAGTGTACTCATTTGCTACTATTCAATTTCTGTTAGACTAGCCAGCCGTACATGATGTCGCTGCCTGCATAAGACTGATTCTAGTTACGTACAACTTGCTCCTGGCTTTCTAAAATTGTGTCTGCTTTGATAAATATATTCAACATTTGAGTGAAAGGAGTTTTTTTAACCAGCTTAACCAACTATGCTTCCTGTGCACAATTTAACCTGGGTAATTAATTGGGGGGGGGGGGGGTGTTCTGACATTTTTATCAAAAATATTTTTTTAATGAATAAAACTTTCTATCTTAAGAACATTTACCCAACATAAAAATAAAACCTGCCTTGGTTTTGTTTGTGTATGTCAGTAGATTGGTGGTGAGTATTCATAAGCATTGGACTAGATCGCCTAACCTGTTTATGGATGGATGCAAGACCACACAGCCATCATCAACAACAGGAACAAACACAATAGAGAATCAATTGAAAACGGTATTTGACAAGTGGCACGTTTTGCTATTCCTTACAGCACGGCCTTGTCTGAGACAGTACAACACTGGCACCAACATTCTACAAGCATGATATTTAGCTAGTCACACGAGCTAGGTTATTTCACCCGGGTTGTGCAAATGATCATTTGGCTGGTGAAAACAATTTAGCGCTTGTAAACCTGATGGGAAATGTTGGGTTAAGAAGGCGTTAACTTGAATGACTCACCAATCTGGCAAACTCAATTTATCCATTTCCTGTTTTACATTATATCTGATGAACCTAAGAATTCAATTTCTTGTACATTTCTGTCAGGGACTAATCTGACATTACATTGTTGCCTTGCATGTCAGCCCTCCATTTTTTCATCATGATTATAGTTTTCAGACACTCGAATATTATATCATCTGGTATTAGCTAACAATGCTGATAACAAGATTTTAATAAACAATAATTTTGCATTCAAATCAATTTAGCACGTTTTGTATGAAAACTGACTCCATGTAAAAACACAACTATATTTTGACCGTAATTCAGGATGGGTTGAATGGCAAAGCAATGAATGTGTTTTGACAACAAGACATCTGTGACACCAAAGTGACAAATCCAAGCTGATAGCACTAATCCTACGTACATATATATAAAGCTTAAAGTGCTAGAACACAGGTGAGCACACAAACCTCATTGAAAACAGGTCTTCTCAAACAAAATAAAATCACAGGAAACAACATTTTTACAAGGACTAATAATTTTCCATTTCTATCCTCCAGTTACAATATACAACATTGAATAACTTGTAGAATTCTAGAGATCTAACAATCTCTCAGATAAAAAAATCTAAATATATTTTCGTTTACACAGTAAATATATACTTCACTAAAAATTAAGGCTTTTGCACACCAAAAAAAAGGGCAAAATTTATTCTTTACATATCTTTTGTATTCTTACTTGGAGGTAAATTTGTGCAACTCAATCCAAGTCTGACTAATACCCGGGGTTAAAATGAGAAGCAAACACACCATTTACATGATAAACGGTATGCATTCTATCATTTACCATATGGACCACTATTTAAATACCCAACTATCAACAAGGAGGCTTACAAAATTATGCAAAAGATAAAAAATACCCTGCAGCAAATTTGCTATCAAGAACACCATCAGGAAACGGGATCAACTTCATTTTATGTACAAGAAGACGCTATTTTATCCGTAATATAGGAAACAATTTCAGGTCTAGTACTGGTTTTAAAAGTACTGGTAACGTGTTTGCAAGATACTCACTGTAATCATAAAAAAAAAATGATTTTAACACAACAGATAAAAACATGTAGAACACTACTAGAAATATTGTATTTTTTCAATAAATTCATTCCTTGTCACACTATTTCATTGTGATGGGAAACCAAGTTACACCATTAGCATGAAAACAGTTTGCCAACCCAGTAATAAATGTACAATTGAATTTACAAGTTAGCTACATCGGCGTTCATTTAATTTTACATTCAAATAGTCAAGGGACTAAGTAACACAAACCAGATATAATGTCTCCAGTGACACTGCCTTGAAATGCGTACATATTAAAGAGTATCTGACTGTGAACTCATGGAAACTGGTATAGGTGTTCATGTTTTTATTTGGGCTGTGAAGAAGTAAAATCTCGCTTTATCAAGCATAAATTGTGCACTCAATACAATGCTAACATGTTTCCTGTATGTCAGTAACATGCACTAATGTCTACGACTCGTAGAACATAAATACAATTGTTATCATGTGCCACAAATAGAAGCGATACAGTAGACATTTCTAATAATGTGCATTAATGTAGGATAGCCTGTCAGAAAATCTGACCTACACTGTGCCTATCACTGACCCCATTTTCCCAATAACTATGCCTATTTTCCTATCCATTTCACAAGCCTGATGAAAACTGATAAGAACATATCCACAAATGACAAACATCTAACATAATCACTTCATCTATCCCAACGTTTTCATTGAGATGCATCTCCTTGACTTATCTGATGAAAAATCCTAATGTCAATCACTTTGGCGGAATATTGGAATACTAGCAGCTACATCATTTGGAATTCATATAGAGTACTGGTAAGTAGCTTTCACACTCAAAGACGTTCACTCAAACTGACAAAGATAAACCAATTAAATGTACAACAAGATGATATCTTCTATAACCAATCAACACGCAGTTCTCATCACTCATTCTGATTCCCATTTCAAAATCAAAGCACTACATTTTTACTGAGGACATAGTAATGCCTGTATTTCCATCTATTTAAAGGCAGAATTACTCTCAAAGGGAAAACAGCCTTCCTCCTAAATGTACACAGGAAATGTATTCTTAAAACTCCTGAAAACAAAGACACAAAGCCAACCTAAATGAAGCCCTTGGAGGCAAGTGTAACACAAAGCACCTTGATAGAAGGTCGATCAGGACAAACAATAAAACAGAATACAGATACCACTAAAGTTGCATCATTTTGATTTTCTTATTTCTATATCTTCATTAAAATATGGCAGTTTGTCAAACAAATTTTGACGTTATTTTCAATAAATGCATGGGCATTTACATAACTAATTCTTTTCATCATATTGATTGGATTATTGCAGTGTAATTGATTTTCTTTTTTACGTTTCATAGTTTTCCTGCTTTGTTATCCACAAAATATTGTTGAATTGATAATTCTTTAAAAAACTAAAAATATAAAAGTGCACCCATACTAAAAGACCTAAAATCAATAATCAATCTGATATATAATATTTTGTTCACCGCATTAACCATATGGAGAATGTTTATCTATGATGAAGAAAACTTTAACACAGGTTACCATGACAGCACCAATGCTAAAAAGAATTCGGTTGTCTAGAAATGTCACAAAGCAACTAAATCTGAAATAATTTTTACCACAATCATTGTCAATTAAATTTTTTTGTTGTAATTGAAATTGGGACAAAATTATAAGCAGTTTGACATAGCATAGGATGCCAGTAAACAGCCACACACTTAAATATCGAGTCCCGGTTACACTTCTCTTGTTTTTAATTAAAGGAATGTTCTGCTCTGTACTGAATTAAATGGTG